ATACCAGAGCTCACGCTGTACAATTATAAATGGTAATTTGAATAAATTATCTGATGTTTTTTTTTTCCTAAAAGCCACTGCTATTTGTATTTTGTTCTCTTTGTTTTAGTTGTTTTATAGGTAGTTTTCAATGGGTGGGGAGTCTAATGCAAAAAATCGACCTGTCTGCGAGCCCTACAAGCATGTATGGCAGTTGGTCAGTAAAGCTGCCACAACATAGTATTTGCCTAATGGTTGAAGCAAAATTTTATTATTTCTTTTGAAATCTAGAAAAGCAAATAGTGTGCATATCTTTCCGAATCCCCATTCAACTTATACTCTGAGTTTACTCATTCTGCTATTAAATTCCTGTTGGTCACGAGTTAGGTGTGCACCTCGGTAAGGGGCAAGGATGTTTCTTGTYAAACCATAAGCAGGATCACCATAGATGATGTACGGTTGCCCATTAGGTCTCTGGAATTGCCTCAGCTTGTTTGCTAAACCACTCGCTCCAAGCATAAAAGCATCGTGTCGTTTTCCCTCTATTGGCCCAAACAAATTTGCTATCAAACCATTTGGAGCTTGAACTGACTACAAATTAAGACATCAACATAGTAAACACATGCAGTGGGGGAAAGAGATGTGTTGTTATAATACCTGAAACTTAATACAGTGCACTCTCTTGTGTCCACTAAACATGATATTTTGATTTCTAATTGGGCGAGCTATAGGCCTAGGTGTACCATCAATAAACCCCCAACACTGTTCTAGGGGGGCACCTTTGTCATGAATTACTTGAGAAAAAAGAGTTGAATCGAGCCAAGAAAGGTTTAGAGAGTCCAACAAGTGGCCATATCGGTCATAGATATCATCAAGAATCTAATTAAAAAAAGTAATATAAAAAGTTGTGTTAGGCTCCAATCTCTTAATATATGTCTTATAGAGAATAGTGTTAATGAGTTAACCAACATGTGGACTTTATCAAATGCCAGGAAACATATTGAGCCCCTTCGCCAACACATAATTTACTTACCTCATTAAATATAAGACTAAGCTCCACTCTGACCTCCAAAACAGTTCTACAAGATCACACCATCTGTTAGGATAGACTAGCCTCCTTAATAGGATCATAAGAGCTTCCATTCCTGTTGCATTTGTCCTCTGAGAGCAGATATAATTTTGAGGTAGTTCAAGAGCGTTAAACAGACGATACATATCGCACCTTTGAAACTTTCAAAAAGAAAGACAGGCCAAATATCAAACTCTTTATAGGTTTTCATCGTACTAACTCTATCTAAGTYAAGTTCAGTTTAGCGAATTGAATACGGTGGTACTAATAAGGGGGATTTTAGTCCACTTAAGCTTACCTAAACTTCTCTTCGCACTGTAAGTCGGTCAGGTCTTCAAGATTAATCCTCGGAAAGTGACCASTTTTATTATCAGGAGTAGTGGGAAACAAGGCAGAAAGAAAAAGTATGTCGAGGTCATCTTCGTCTGACGATTCACCGGAAGAATCAGAGCTGTCTTGATATAACAACACTTCCAAAAGGTCATCCAAATCTCGTTTTGCAGCAGCGGCCATTTTTGTTTTTGTTTACATTCAGTGAATTTACCAATAATCTACGGTGGCCCAGAAGGCTCAACACAAACAAAAAATAAATGATCCAAATAAAAAAAAAGCCAGCAATTTACAACAATAAGGAAAATAATTTGTAAAAAATCCAAGCGAAAACAAACTTATACTGGAAAAAATCGCAAACAAATAAGGTAAAAGCAAACTAAAAAAGAATCGCAAATAAAACAAGACACGCAAACAAAAAAAAGAAACGCAAATAAAAAAACCAGAAACGCAACGACAAAGAAGACTGGGGTCTAGTTCTTAGTTTCCCGCCAAAACCTAATTTATGCCAATTTATGTTGACTTAGAGCACCGCCATGTTTTGTAGTCAGTGCGGAGTCGAGTCTTCGGACAAAACAGCAAAATTTTGCTTTAATTGTGGTTTTAATTTTTCCAAAACCGATACCAAGTCAACGTGTGGATTTCTAGAGTTCAAACGGCGTAAGGAAGAAGAAAGACAATCAAAATTTGAACCTAAAAACAAGAAAGCCAAAGGCCTCGCTAGCAMTTCRTMGGTTTCTAAAGGGAAATCTGTCAAGCAGAAGGATGTTGTAATAAATGTTGGAGTGATGAAATATACCAAAGGAGAATTGAAAAGATGCAGAGGAAAGACCTTACCTATTATTACTGCACCTGAGGCAAGCTCAGAAGAGATAAAGGACAAAGCTGTTTCTAAACATACAAACCATGATAAAACCTTACACCATGGACTTGACTATGTACTTCTTTACCCTGATGGCAGTGAGGTTCTCAATATACCCGGATCTACTCAACCGTTTGTGTTGGAAAAATATAAAGAAGAAGTTGGAAGAGCCTACAACAGAAYAACATTGTATATTTGCACCAAATCTGATCTGCTGTTTTCTGAGATGCCCAGCAAGTCCGAGTTTGACACCGAAAGCGAAGTGGAAATAAGCTCAGACAGTGACGATGAGTTATTGAAGAGTATTTATGACAGTTCAAATCAAGTAAGTATTCAAACCTGACTTGCAGCTAATCTATGTTTCAAAGCTTGATTAGGAACCGGCCATTATTTATCGTTTATCTGGAAAG